TGTAGGAGATACTTTCATCTATGTAGGAGATACTTTCATCTATGTAGGAGATACTTTCATCTATGTAGGAGATACTTCTCATCTATGTAGGAGATACTTTCATCTATGTAGAGATACTTTCATCTATGTAGGAGATACTTTCATCTATGTAGGAGATACTTTCATCTATCTATGTAGGAGATACTTTCATCTATGTAGGAGATACTTTCATCTATGTAGGAGATACTTTCATCTATGTAGGAGATACTTTCATCTATGTAGGAGATACTTTCATCTATGTAGGAGATACTTTCATCTATGTAGGAGATACTTTCATCTATGTAGGAGATACTTTCATCTATGTAGGAGATACTTCATCTATGTAGGATACTTCACTGTAGGAGATATCTATGTAGGAGATACTTTCATCTATGTAGGAGATACTTTCATCTATGTAGGAGATACTTTCATCTATGTAGGAGATACTTTCATCTATGTAGGAGATACTTTCATCTATGTAGGAGATACTTTCATCTATGTGGGAGATACTTCATCTATGTAGGAGATACTTTCATCTATGTAGGAGATACTTTCATCTATGTAGGAGATACTTTCATCCATGTGTAGGAGATACTTTCATCTATGTAGAGATACTTTCATCTATGTAGGAGATACTTCATCTATGTAGGAGATACTTTCATCTATGTAGGAGATACTTTCATCTATGTAGGAGATACTTCTATGGATCTATGTATGGAGATACTTTCATCTATGTAGGAGATACTTTCATCTTTCATGTATGGAGATACTTTCATCTATGTAGGAGATACTTTCATCTATGTAGGAGATACTTTCATCTATGTAGGAGATACTTCATCTATGTAGGAGATACTTTCATCTATGTAGGAGATACTTTCATCTATGTAGGAGATACTTTCATCTATGTAGGAGATACTTTCATCTATGTAGGAGATACTTTCATCTATGTAGGAGATACTTTCATCTATGTAGGAGATACTTTCATCTATGTAGGAGATACTTTCATCTATGTAGGAGATACTTTCATCTATGTAGGAGATACTTTCATCTATGTAGGAGATACTTTCATCTATGTAGGAGATACTTTCATCTATGTAGGAGATACTTTCATCTATGTAGGAGATACTTTCATCTATGTAGGAGATACTTTCATCTATGTAGGAGATACTTTCATCTATGTAGGAGATACTTTCATCTATGTAGGAGATACTTTCATCTATGTAGGAGATACTTTCATCTATGTAGGAGATACTTTCATCTATGTAGGAGATACTTTCATCTATGTAGGAGATACTTTCATCTATGTATGAGATACTTTCATCTATGTAGGAGATACTTTCATCTATGTAGGAGATACTTTCATCTATGTAGGAGATACTTTCATCTATGTAGGAGATACTTTCATCTATGTAGGAGATACTTCATCTATGTGTAGGAGATACTTTCATCTATGTAGGAGATACTTTCATCTATGTAGGAGATACTTTCATCTATGTAGGAGATACTTTACTTTCATCTATGTAGGAGATACTTTCATCTATGTAGGAGATACTTTCATCTATGTAGAGATACTTTCATCTATGTAGGAGATACTTTCATCTATGTAGGAGATACTTCCATCTATGTAGGAGATACTTTCATCTATGTAGGAGATACTTTCATCTATGTAGGAGATACTTTCATCTATGTAGGAGATACTTCCATCTATGTAGGAGATACTTTCATCTATGTAGGAGATACTTTCATCTATGTAGGAGATACTTTCATCTATGTAGGAGATACTTTCATCTATGTAGGAGATACTTTCATCTATGGAGATACTTTCATCTATGTAGGAGATACTTTCATCTATGTAGGAGATACTTTCATCTATGTAGGAGATACTTTCATCTATGTAGGAGATACTTTCATCTATGTAGGAGATACTTTCATCTATGTAGGAGATACTTTCATCTATGTAGGAGATACTTTCATCTATGTAGGAGATACTTTCATCTATGTAGGAGATACTTTCATCTATGGAGATACTTTCATCTATGTAGGAGATACTTTCATCTATGTAGGAGATACTTCATCTATCTATCTATGTAGGGAGATACTTTCATCTATGTAGGAGATACTTTCATCTATGTAGGAGATACTTTCATCTATGTAGATACTTTCATCTATGTAGGAGATACTTTCATCTATGTAGGAGATACTTTCATCTATGTAGGAGATACTTTCATCTATGTAGGAGATACTTTCATCTATGTAGGAGATACTTTCATCTATGTAGGAGATACTTTCATCTATGTAGGATACTTTCATCTATGTGGAGATACTTTCATCTATGTAGGAGATACTTTCATCTATGTAGGAGATACTTTCATCTATGTAGGAGAGATACTTTCATCTATGTAGGAGATACTTTTCATCTATGTAGGAGATACTTTCATCTATGTAGGAGATACTTTCATCTATGTAGGAGATACTTTCATCTATGTAGGAGATACTTTCATCTATGTAGGAGATACTTTCATCTATGTAGGAGATACTTTCATCTATGTAGGAGATACTTTCATCTATGTAGGAGATACTTTCATCTATGTAGGAGATACTTTCATCTATGTAGGAGATACTTTCATCTATGTAGGAGATACTTTCATCTTTCATCTATGTAGGAGATACTTTCATCTATGTAGGAGATACTTTCATCTATGTAGGAGATACTTTCATCTATGTAGGAGATACTTTCATCTATCATTTCATCTATGTGAGAGATACTTTCATCTATGTAGGAGATACTTTCATCTATGTGGGAGATACTTTCATCTATGTAGGAGATACTTTCATCTATGTAGGAGATACTTTCATCTATGTAGGAGATACTTTCATCTATGTAGGAGATACTTTCATCTATGTAGGAGATACTTTCATCTATGTAGGAGATACTTTCATCTATGTAGGAGATACTTTCATCTATGTTTCATCTATGGAGATACTTTCATCTATGTAGGAGATACTTTCATCTATGTGAGAGATACTTTCATCTATGTAGGAGATACTTTCATCTATGTAGGAGATACTTTCATCTATGTAGATACTTTCATCTATGTAGGAGATACTTTCATCTATGTAGGAGATACTTCATCTATGTAGGAGATACTTTCATCTATGTAGGAGATACTTTCATCATCTATGTAGGAGATACTTTCATCTATGTAGGAGATACTTTCATCTATGTAGGAGATACTTTCATCTATGTAGGAGATACTTTCATCTATGTAGGGAGATACTTTCATCTATGTAGGAGATACTTTCATCTATGTAGGAGATATCTTGTAGGAGATCATCTATGTAGGAGATACTTTCATCTATGTTTCATCTATGTAGGAGATACTTTCATCTATGTAGGAGATACTTTCATCTATGTAGATACTTTCATCTATGTAGGAGATACTTTCATCTATGGAGGATCTTTCATCTATGTAGGAGATACTTTCATCTATGTGGAGATACTTTCATCTATGTAGGAGATACTTTCATCTATGTAGGAGATACTTTTTCTATCTCATCTATGTAGGAGATACTTTCATCTATGTAGGAGATACTTTCATCTATGTAGAGATACTTTCATCTATGTAGGATACTTTCATCTATGTAGGAGATACTTTCATCTATGTAGGAGATACTTTCATCTATGTAGGAGATACTTTCATCTATGTAAGAGATACTTTCATCTATGTAGATACTTTCATACTATTTCATCTATGTAGGAGATACTTTCATCTATGTAGATACTTTCATCTATGGAGGAGATACTTTCATCTATGGAGATACTTTCATCTATGTAGGAGATACTTCCATCTATGTAGATATATGACAAAGGGGCCACTAAACACTTGAATAAATGAAACTATATACATGTATATAATTTATTATCAACCCAGCAAGGGTCGCACCTTCTGAAGACAATATCCCTTAGTAACGATATGCACGATTATAATATCATACATGGAGATATATCTATCAACTACGTAGACACGCAAAAGTAAGTATCATCTACGTAGACGTAAGTACGACTCGTATCATCTACGTAGACATAAGTACGATTCGTATCATCTACATGAAAGTAATTTTCGTAGACGTAAGTACGACTCGTATCATCTACATGAAAGTAATTTTCGTAGACGTAAGTACGACTCGTATCATCTACATGAAAGTAATTTTCGTAGACGTAAGTACGACTCGTATCATCTACATGAAAGTAATTTTCGTAGACGTAAGTACGACTCGTATCATCTACATGAAAGTAATTTTCGTCTACGAAGATACTGAAAACTGCTGATACAGATATCAAAGTGATGTTCTGGACCAAAGCAGGTAGTTTTCAGCCGAGTGACGTTTTGATAACATTGGTGCATTTTGGTTTCAATTCAGATTTTAAGCATATAATTTCTTAGTCCAACAGTTAAATCTGTCCCTCATAGTACCATCCCTCTAGGTTACGATGCCGAAATTTGAAAAAGGATGTTCTACGACGAAGTAAACTCACTCTAGCTGAGGTGATCAATTCCTGTTAAAACATTTGATGCAGAGCCACAGAAAGGGTACCATGTTTTACTTGTTTTAGTACCCTTGAAGATCCGGGTTGGAAATGGTCTTCAGGAACCCATGCTTGTCGTAAGAGGCGACTAACGGGATCGGGTTGTCAGGCTCGCTGACTTGGTTGAAACATGACATCGATTCCCAATTGCGTAGATCGATGCTCATGATTCTGACCACTGGATTGTCTGGTCCAGACTCGATCATATACAGACCGCCGCCATATAGCCGGAATATCGCTGAGTGCGGCGTAAAACAACCAGCTTGTTTTTTGTATGACATGGTCGGAGGTTCGAACCACAATCTAGGGCTGACACTCTATCAACTAGGCCACGGTGGCGGTCAGGGCAGGTTGTTGCTGTCGAGTCACACGTCAGACAACACATAAATAGTAGTGAAAAATAATATTTTTATTCTATTGTAACCTAACATCCAGACTGAGAAGACAAGATGACGGAAGCTGAAATACTTTGTCGTCGGCTATTCCCATCGAAATGTTGTCATATTGTGTCAGTGAGAACGCTGATACTGAAAAGAGAACATAGAGATAAAAACTTCTTGTATATTGAGGGGCGGTGGGGTAGCCTAGTGGTTAAAGCGCTCACTCGTCACGCCGAAGACCCGGGTTCGATTTCCCACATGGGTACAATGTGTGAAGCCCATTTCTGGTGTCCCCCGCCGTGATATTGCCGGAATATCGCTAAAAGCGGCGTAAAACCAAACTCACCCACATTCTCTTGTATATTTGAAAAAATATTTTAGTGAAAATAGTTCTTTGATGAATTCATTTACATGTCATTTGCTCTCAATGGAACACAGGTGATGGGATAGCCCAGTGGTTCATGATCACGTACCCGTGAAGTTCCGGGTACAATTTGTCCTCAGCAAGCGACTAATGAGATCGGGTGGTCAGGCTCCTGACTTGGTCGACACATGTCATTGTATCCCAAATGTTGTTTAACGCCGCACTCAGCAGTCTTCCAGCTATGTGACGGTGGTCTGTAAATAATCGCGTCTGGACCAGGCAATCCAGTGATCAACGTCATGAGCATCGATCTGCGCAACTAAAATATCATTACATGCATCAACCAAGGCAACGAGTCTGACAGCCATTGCGTAGATTTATGCTCATTCTGTTGATCACTGGATTGTCTGACCCAGACTCGATTATGTACAGACCGCCGCCATGTAGCTGGAATATTAAGTGACACGTTAAACAACAAACAAAACAAAATGCACAAAAAACGTTAGTCACCTCTTAATACTTGCATGGGTTGCTGAAGATGGCTGCTGAAGCCGACGGCACAAAGCGATCTTAATAATAATATTAATAATAATAATGCTAATTTTGCGCCTAGAATCCAACGCGATGCTGTTCTCTGGCGTTACATTATTACCCTGAAGGAATTGTACTTTCAAAGTGCTAAGCGCGACCGTATAGGTCCGTACACCCGCTTTTCAGGTACCCATTTTAAACAGCTGGGTGGACTGAGTGCAATGTGGAGGAAGTGCCTTGCCCAGGGACACAACACAGTATGAGACCCAGGTCACAAATTTTGGTGTCTCCACCGGGATTCGAACCCGGGCCTTTGGCGTGAGAGGCCAGCATGCTAACCACTGCACCACTGTGCTCCATTGTGTTAGCGCTAAGACGGGCCTAACTCTTGTACCTTCACATAGGGTTACTTGCTAGTCTTAACGCTAAGATTGATTCGGGCACGTTGGTCCTGCTGGTACATACTTCCCTCTTGGCTGACGGCCATCTCGACAAGGTGGACACAGGTGTCGCTGGTGACGGTGTAGGTGTAGCTGTTGCCGTGGGTGTCGTTCAGGAACCAGACGTCCGCTGACAGATCACTGATGGCCTTGGTCCGAAGATACTTTGCTTCACCTTGTAGAAACGTTTTACATTTATAGGGCAAAATAACAGATATCAGTAACGGATAATAATAATAATGTGTCCATTTATATAGCGCCAAACTCCACCCTAGGTATACTCATAGCGCTAACAATCAAGGCACAGCACATTATTACCCCGGATAAGCTGCCTGTTAGGCGCTAGAAGGTTAGTCATATGACTTTTTTCCACCGGGAACCCATTTTCCTGCTGGGTGAACAGAGACAATTTTGAACAAACTCACTTAACTCGCCTAAGGTGAGACCACATGTGTCACATGTGCTTCGTTGTGGGGCAGGACTCAAGTCCTAGAAACTCTCAGGAGTCAAGCTGCCAAACACGGTCACCCATCCAAGGACTCTCCGAACTCGACGCTGCTTAACTTCAACAATTTGTGACCTGAGCTTTGAGCACAGGACCACGCGCGGATGTGTCTGGTTAGTTAGCCGGCATGTATTCTAGAGCTTCTTTGTAGGGGCAGTTTGGCGGCGTTGTGATTAGAAAGATTTGGCTAGTCAAACCGAAAACCAGGATTCGATTCTCCGTGTGAGTGTCCCTTCACGTGTAATTGATAAAAGCGGCGTAGAATTTGAATTGCTCTCGTACCAGCGCACTCACTCTCTCACGGAAGTCGTGAGCTGTGAATGTTCTAATTATAAACCTATGCCATAAAATATTATCCTAATGAGTGAGTGAGTGAGTTAAGATTTACAGTCACATCGGCAATATTTCAGCTATATCGTGACTAAAACAAGTTTCAAATTGACCATAAATAGATGTAAATTATAACAACCTGTCAACGAAGGACAGTAAAACCAACTAGAATATCACAGTATCAAGAATTAAAACAAGCATCTCTCTAAAATTGGATTTCAAATTAGGACAAGACAGTATAAAAATGGGATATAGATCGCCAACAACTGAAGTTCGATCACCATACTAGGGACCTTGGGGACTTACAGTGCATTTGCTACCTGCATGGACCTCAGTTGGTATTATCCTAAAGACTTATATGAAGGTGAGTGAGTGAGTGAGTGAGTTTAGTTTTACGACGCTTTTAGCAATATTCCAGCTATATCACGGCGGGGGACACCATAAATGGGCTTCACACATTGTACCCATGTGGGGAATCGAACCCGGGTCTTCGGCGTGACGAACGAACGCTTTAACCACTACGCTACCCCACCGCCCCCTTATATGAAGGTAAAGTTCGCCCCCTTATATGAAGGTACTGTCGACTGCGGCTTCAGCCAACATTCACCCAGATGAGGGACAGTGGGGTAGCCTAAAGGTTAAAGCGTTCGCACGCTGAAGACCCGACTTCGATTCCCCACATGGCTACAATGTGTGGTCAATTTATGGTGTCCTCCACCGTGATATTGCTGAAATATTGCTAAAAATTGGCATAAATCCATACTCACTCACTCACTCAGTGACGTACCTGGGATACAAGGCGACGGCATGGCGTCTGTGTGAAACTGATGGATACACTGCCGGTCATACAGCGTCCACTTTAGTTGCTGCAACAGGTGCCAACATCATCATGATAAACATAATTCCCTAATTGCAACACATGCATGCTTTTGTCACTTCAGGCGGGAGATGCCCCAAGATCAGATTCACAAGCGCCACAGCAACCCAATGACTTGGTTGACACATGTCATCGTATCCCAAATACGTAGATCGATGCTCATGCTGTTGATCACTGGCTTGTCTGGTCCCCCGCCGTGTAGCTGGAATATTGCTGAGTGCGGCGTTAAACAACAAACAAATAAACTAAGGAATCACAAGCCCCATGTACAAAACGAGCGTACAGATTCAACTGAGCGAGTGAGTGAGTGAGTGAGTATGGTTTTACGCCGCTTTTAGCAATATTCCAGCAATATCACGGCGGGGGACACCAGGAATGGCCTTCACACATTGTACCCATGTGGGGAATCGAACCCGGGTCTTCGGCGTGACGAGCGAACGCTTTAACTACTAGGCTACCCCACCGCCCCATATTTTCAAATGAATATGAATGCACAAACTGACGTATCTTGGGTAAACATCGTGCACAGACATAATTGAGTAGAGTATCACTTTCAGCCAGCCGGGTGGTGGTGGGGTAGCTTAGTGGTTAAAGCGTCCGCTCGTCACGCCAAAGACGCGGGTTCGATTCCACATATGGGTACAAAGTGTGAAGGTCATTTCCGGTGGTGATATTGCTGGAATATTGCTAAAAACCTCACTCACTTACTCACTCAGCCAACAGGCGTAACGTACACCGTACAGAGCGGCGTAAAACACAATTCAGTCACAACACATCATCTAAGACCTACCGTGTTATAATCAATGTGTACTGTCCGACTGAAGGTAACATTGCTCGTGCCGTTCCACACAGTCTCTTCCACAGTCAACCTTCTGTTCCTGTAGTCATAATGAACAACGCTCCGTATTTCCTTCAATGTCACGTAGTCAGTCGTTCTGTCAATCAACCCTCCCACCTCGAGACTCACGGCTTCCCATTGGTCGGGACCGCAGCACCTCGGTTCAGAGGTCAGCACTTCCGGGTCAGATGTTATGATCCTCAGAACGAAAACCAAGGTGAATGTAAAAACGTAGATTTCACTTCCTGAATTCAAACGTGTGAACTTGACTATGAGATTCATTGTTGAGTCGAGGTTTGATCCAGGAGAAGGTCACTGTAGTATACGTTGCTGAGATACGCTGTCTTGATACGCTATCTGTTCAGATACAACGCAGTTGTCTCGCGTTATCTCGCAGTGTGTCTCGCGTTATCTGTCGTGGTCGCCATCATACATATCGTTGTGTAACATTGTCAAAGGGCAATCTATTCGTGTGAGTGCTTGTTTATTTTCACACAGCACTCGGCTGTATTCTGGCCGTTTAAGAGTCAGCTGTAAATACATGTACTCGAGTCTTGACATGACGCAGCAATGATTGATACTGTGAGCACCCACCATGCGGTTGGAACAATGACGTCATCAAGCAAGTCACCGAGTTTTAACATTCGTAACTACTCGCCTCTTTCTGTAACCAATAATCGTGGCAAACCAATCAAATCGCGCGTAGTAAAATGTGAAATGAGGTTAAATAGTTTCTTTGTGATTATCGATTTTCATTCTTAATTCCGTGATTATAAAATTATCTTTTTACTGATATTTCTTAACAACATAAGAAACTTACTTGCAGGTTAAACAAATTTGTTCTTGTTGTTTTCTAGGAGCAACCATGTTTGGAAATTCAGAGTTATCTTTCCTTGGAAATAGTCCTAGACTAGTTTCATCTCCGTTCCCGTTTGCACTTAGACAAGGCCCAGTCGTGAACATGGTCACGAGAGGGGTACGAGTCGCCATCCGTCTTGCCGGAATGACACAAGTAGTTACGAATGCGAGTCTTTACACTGGGTACCAGCATTAAGACCAACTCTAAAACCTAATCACCATGGGGCGGAATAGTTTCTTCGTTTTCAATATTTGTGTCCCGGGGTACCTGAGGGGAGAGGGGAGGGGAGTTCACCCGGACTCCAGAAGGTACGGTGGGGTAGACTTCTGGTTAAAGTATTCGCTCGTCACCCCTGGATTCGATTCCCCATGTTGGTAAATTTACTGAAGCTCATTTTGGTGATATTGGTGGAATATTGCTAAACGCGGCGTAAAACCATAAATACTTACTCCCCAACTCAATCTAGAATTATTCAGAAGTTCGAATTTGCCCAGGTCTAGGATCTAGGTTCCATGAGGAGAGCTATGCATGAAAGGACTGATCGGGACTTGTCCTCAATACGTCGTCAAGTAAATATGTACTGGCGTTCTCGTTACAAAGTACTGACAAACTAGTGGCCACACTAATTTGCCATCACGTGTCTATGCACAAATACACAAGAGACCTTCGTGTGTCTGTATACTGTGAACTGACACACACTGACCATCACCCCATCAAAGCAGCCTTTGCTAAAAGCGGCGTAAAACTAAACTCACTCACTCACTCTGAGACGGAATCGTTGGATGCAGTGTGGCGGCTGCACTATTTGTGTATTACCCCGATAGGTAGATATGGAGGGGAGATCTCGTGGGCTGATTGATAGGCAATTGCAAGACATAAGACTTTGAATTGGTTCCTTTGATTTGAGTGATTTGAGTACAAGTTGAACGTGTTCTCTAGGCTTAGTCTTAGTAAGTAACCTTGCAAATGCATTCTTCAGTCTTTGAAATCTGTGAATTTGATCATTAGAAATACCATAGAGGAGACAGTTGCAGTAGTAAAGGCGGGAAAGAATAAGTTTTGCAGTGGCATGTCGTGTAAGATGATGCCGAACAGAGGCCCAGATAAGCTGCGTATCCGGGTAAAAATACGCATAGAAAGTTTCAATTACGCATTGAAAAATAATTGTTGCGTACCACTTACGCATTGAAAATGTAAGATACGCAAAAAGTTTAAAACAAATGCGTACGGAATATATATATAAAAATCGCTTGCGTAATGAAAAAGACATCGATTGCTATCAAGTTGTACTGTTGGTATAGGACAAGTGTTGTACTGTCAGTATAGGATGAGTGATTTTTTTATGAAATCATTTCCATTATATATAGGTTGGTTTTGATTAGTTATGACATAAAGCAGAACATACCTGCTTAGTAAACTTACTCAATGACATAATACTTAGGTGAGTAAAATTCTTGAAATACGCACATATTGGAAAGCAGTGGGTAACGGAAAATGAAATAATATACCCACTCAACATTCATAACACCCACTCCAAAAATAATACAGTGGGTACAGTACACTGGAGCTCTGGCTGAATAGAACCAATATTCCTCGTGTGGAAATAACACGTTCTGCATAGATGACTGAAGTAGTCTTCCATTATTATGTTGGTTGGTTTGATGTTTGACGCTGCACTCAGCAATATTCCAGCTATATGGCGGTGGTCTGTAAATAATCGAGTCGGGACCAGACAATCCAGTGATCAACAGCATGAGCATCGATCTACGTAATAGGGATACGATGACATGTGTCAACCAAGTCAGTAAGCCTGACACACACACGACCAATGAAATATTCCATGCTAAGACATGCCTCTTCTTGATGAGCTGTGTCCAAAGCAAATCCTTTCACCAGCTGTGATGGTCAATCTCATGATCAGTAAGTAAGTTTCCGAAAAGCTTAGCGTATAGGGTAAAGAGTAGAGGCCCCAGTAAGGAGCATTGAGGGACGCCACATGAAAGCACTGAACTTTGACAGACTGTGTTTGCCATGACTACTGACTGAGATCTATCACAAGCATGAATGTGTGAATGATTTGCATTTTGAGCCGCTTCCAGCAAAATCACGGCGGGTGACACCAGAAATGGGCTTCACACATTATGAAATTAAACCCGGGCCTTCGGCGTGACGAGCGAACGCTTTAACTAATAGGCTACTCCACCGCCCCCACAAACATAGGAGCATGGGCGGATCCAGGAATTTTGAAAAAGGGTGTGTGTGTGTGGTTCAGGGGGTTCGAATCCCCTGGACCCCAAACCCACCCCACCCTTGGCTCCGCCAACGCAAAACAAAAATCTTCAATATGGACTTAAGTCCATTAAAGGGGGGGGGTCGAACCCTTGTATCCGCCCATGTAGGAGGTACACTTTTACGTACTGTACCATCAATACAATAATCTAGTTTGAGAGGATGGATTAAAATGGCGTGGTCTTTGGTGTCAAACGCTGATGAAAGACCAAGAAGCCAACATAGACCAACATAGCAATATACTACGACGAAGATATTGTTCAAGGTTGTTTCTGTGCTATGGGCTGCCCGGTATGCTGACCGGCACTCGTTCATCAAATCAAACTGTGTCAGATGAGCACCAATGTGAGGTTTTACTACCTTCTCCAGTGTCTTAGATATGGAAGTATACTAACTCGTTGGTAACGTTATTTGTAGCTGGGATTTTGCTTTGCAACATTTTTCTCAAGTACCGTGAATAGCATTTAGTTTGTTAGTTGTGTGTTCGCAGTGTAACGCCGGCCTACAAATCTTGAAATTTAGTTGACAAACAGGTAATTGTTATTTTTATTATTTTTATTATTATTGGACATTTATATAACGCATATTTCCACGCACTAGTGCATGCTGAAGGTGCTGATTGTTAATATGAACGCCGTTGGTGTACGATAACGCGCCTTGCTTGACAAGCCCTTTAACTAACTTTATAGGTGTCTCGGTGGTCAGAATCACATGCTGCATGAAACCCATGTGCCCCACATATTAAACTATGTTACTGTGACATGCACCCGTAAAGACACGGGTTAGAACTGATCTTCAGTAACCCATGCTTGTCGTAAGAGGCGACTACCGGGATCGGGTGGTCAGGCTCGCTGACTTGGTTGACACATGTCATCGTATCCCATCGTAGCTCATGGTGTTGATCACTGGATTGTTTGGTCCAGACTCGATTATTTATAGCCCACGGCCACATAGCTGGAATATTTGTGGGTGCGGCGTCAACCTTAACACTCACTCACTCACTGTGACAAACGTTTGTTTGTTTGATCAACGCCGCACTAAGGTGGTCCATAAATAATCTGTAAATTATCGAGTCTTGACCAGACAGTCCAGTGATGAACAGCATGAGCATCGAGTATCGCAGTTGGGACAAACGTTTTAAAATACGATTAAAACTGTAATACAGTGTACAATATCCACTTGAGTAAAATATCTTTTTATGTACTGAGAAGCAATCGACGGCTTCAGCGTTGCGGCTACTCGATTTGTCAATCACCCATAATCGCTTTCGTTTTAATCCCAACTTCAGCTTTGTTCACTCGCACAGATAATCAATTCATGTTTATGACTGTGAAAGGTTTTATTGAATATGAAATATGTAAAAACAACAATGAAGTATGAAAGATATAAATCGCATCATAGACACATGGACAAAATACTTCAACACTAAGGACGAACGATGAGCAATCCAACCACTGTCCCATGTCAGCAGGCAGATATGTTTGTAGAAGGACTGAAGACAAAAACACTCACGCTCACCTAGAACACTAGTTACCTCCCCTTGACCATGGCTACTCGTCGCTTTGGTCACGAACCCCGAAATACCATTCACAGTTCAAGATTCATGCACGACAAACAGACACAACTCTTAATGTAGCCATTGTTTTCGAAATAATTATTTCTACTCTATAATCGGTAGCATGTTAATTGTATCTAAGTTTTTCCTACTCAACATTTGCTATGCCTTTATCACCGGAATTATATCCTGCATAAGTAAGTGAAAGAGTATGGTTTTGTGCCGCTTTTAGCAATATTCCAGAAATATCACGGCGGGAGACATCAGAAATGGGCTTTACACATATAACCGTGTGGGGAATTGAACCCGGGTCTTCGGCATGACGTGCGAACGCTTTAACCACTCGGCTACCGCACCGTGCATATCCTGCTGAAAATGCATGTGCACCACACTTTGAAATATGTGGTTCATATAGGACATGTATTCAGAAATACGATCAAAACTGTATATACCGCATCGAACCTGGCGTGTCGATGTGTTACTGAGTTATCTCCCTTGGAGTATAGACCGGTTGAACAAATGGCAGACAGCTGACATAAAAATGCGTACTGAGAGCCGTGCTTTAACAAGATAGATGATAAGACCTGCATCTGCTATAACACGAACGCACCTGACTTACGAATCATGTCATGTGGTATATGGTACGTCATGTATGACGTCACACACACGAGACTGCCACCTCCTTTGCGTTCGCACGATCCGGGGTTTATTTAATGGGTTTCTGGGGCTCTGTGGTTCAAAAGATTCAACATTTACAAACTTGTACAAACAAATTCTGCATAAAATAATCTTTTCGATATTTTATCATAAACTTCCCTAACTTTCAATCTCACGCATCTTGTTCTCAGAGCTTTGTGAGAAATTTATTTGCTCAGTTGTATTTTGGTATTCAGGCGTTAGCAATTAGTCTAAAAGTGAGCAATTCGATGGGATTCGGGATCCAGTGGAAGATGTCTGGGGGGATTCAGCCGGTAGCAATGAATCTTAAAGTGAGCAATTCGATGGGATTCGGGATTCAGTGGAAGATGTCTGGGGGGATTCAGCCGTTAGCAATGAATCTTAAAGTGAGCAATTCGATGGGATTCGGGATCCAGTGGAAGATGTCTGGGGGGATTCAGCCGGTAGCAATGAATCTTAAAGTGAGCAATTCGATGGGATTCGGGATTCAGTGGAAGATGTCTGGGGGGATTCAGCCGTTAGCAATGAATCTTAAAGTGAGCAATTCGATGGGATTCGGGATTCAGTGGAAGATGTCTGGGGGGATTCAGCCGGTAGCAATGAATCTTAAAGTGAGCAATTCGATGGGATTCGGGATTCAGTGGAAGATGTCTGGGGGGATTCAGCCGTTAGCAATGAATCTTAAAGTGAGCAATTCGATGGGATTCGGGATTCAGTGGAAGATATCTGGAGGGATTCAGCCGTTAGCATTGAATCTTAAAGTGTGCAATTCGATGGGATTCAGGGGAAGCTTGGGCTGCTGTCCTCACATGCTGTGAGAGAATCTGGCTCGAAAGACTACCTCAGTTCCGTCACGGCTTATCAGACTGTGCAGTAAATATCCAAAACGGTAACTTCAATTGCATATTTCGTTGTAATACTTAAAGAGGACGGGTATAGTAGGACAAAGTATTACAAGGTTCATAACTAGGTCGAATCTGAAATTCTAACCCATGATTATAGGCTCCTGGCACAACTAGGGGACGCAACTCCGCACAGCAGATTGTGGCGCTTCTGATTGTAACTGCGCTACGTGTCTCTTATACATATCAATTTTGTAATTATGAATCATGATTTATTAATATGTGTGCAAGGAAGTTGTCAAATCATGGAGTTTGTCAAATCATGATTGTCTTTTTTTCATTCTTTAAATACTTCTTCCTCTTCATTTTTGAGTTCCCGGAACAGCAGCACGGCCAGAACAATACTGACAACCTGAAACAAACAGACAGGGTTAAACAAACAACTTGTGAAGCAATGACGTCACACCTCACCTTGTCAGTAGATTCAGGATGTGTTCCGACACATGATATGGGGTTCGTGCTGCAAACCACATATTGATAGTTATGTAGTGCACAGGTGGCCCAGCCATGCGAACTGATGCGCAGGTACGTCTTGATCAGCTGATCATGGGTTCGAATCCCATTAGTATCAAAATTTGATTATCCGTTTGTCAGAAATGCAAAATGCCACTATGGCGTAAAACAATATTCATTCGGTCACTTTTATCAGGTAAAGTCCATCAGGTAATATGTCAGTCACAGGGTTGTCGGGTCTGAATAAATTATTAAGTCCGCCATCTTACATCTGGAACACTGCGTGCGTCCGTGTGTGCGTACGTGCGTGTGTGTGCATAGAGTGCTGAGTGAGTGAGTGAGTTTTGTATTACGCCTCACTCAGCAATAATTCCAGCTATAATGCGGCCGTCTATAAAAAAGAGAGTCTGGACCAGACAATCCAGTGATCAACAGCATGAGCATCGATCTACGCAATTAGGATACGATGACATGTGTCAACAAAGTCAGCGAGCCTGATGGCCCGATCCCGTTAGTCGCCTCTTTGGACAAGCATTTCGAGTCTGGAGCAGAGAAACCCGTGAATGACATTACGAGAAACATACAACCCCATCTTGGAGAGCCGTGCAATAGGTTTTACACATTCCTACGTTCTTCATCGTCGTGACCTAGAATACAAATCCGTAAAGCAGATGATAAAAATTCCTTATCATGTTTCTCTCACCTCGACACCCGCCAGAATGATGCCAGCAACTATCATCGTCGTTGTGTAGCCGAGGACCACGCCCTCCAGCGCGCTGTAGCAACCCTGAAACCAACACAGTCATAATTACATCCTCTGTGTAACAGGGTACAGAGTCAAGCCTCAGACGACCTTACCTAGAACACTGTCGGGGTAAAACAAGTGTTGGTCTAGGGGAAAAGGTATCTGACCTCTGGAAGTCCATGGTTCAAATATAAGTTTGGGTCTCGGATATTTCAGGCATAACATCTCTAACACATGAACCATCACTCTCATATGTATTTCTTTCAAGAAACATTAAATTAGAGCATTATGTTTCAGGAAGCATTGTTCTTATCGAGCTATGAAGTGTGAGTACAGTACTGCATGATGGCAACGCTTTCGTCTGAGGTATGCATGAATGTAGTATACGGTACTCTATACATGCATACATCAGACAATAGCATGGTCATCATGCAGTACTGTACTCACTCCATGCATACTTCAGACAATAGCGTTGTCACCATGCAGTACTGTACTCACTCCATGCATACTTCAGACAATAGCGTTGTCACCATGCAGTACTGTACTCACTCCATGCATACTTCAGACAATAGTGTTGCCATCATGCAGTACTATACTCACTCCATGCATGCTTCAGACAATAGTGTTGGCATCATGCAGTACTGTTTTCATCGCATACTTACTTCAGACAATAGTGTACTGTACTAAAAGGTACTGTCGGAAATAGAAAAAAAATGTTTTTGGCTGTTACTCTGTATCCCGAAAATTTGAAGAATTGCAAATAGCATATGTCAAAATAACCCACACGTACATCAGTGGGATGCGTGATAGGATATCCAGAAAAGCATGTTTACTCGTAAAATCGGGCAAAACAAACAACTTGAGAAGCAAATGTCGTCACGCCTCACCTGGTCAGTAGATTCAGGATGTGTTCCAACACATGATATGGGGGTTCGTGCTGCAAACCACATATTGATAGTTATGTAGGGCACAGGTGGCCCAGCCATGCGAACTGATGCGCAGGTACGTCTTGATCAGCTGATCATGGGTTCGAATCCCATTAGTATCAAAATTTGATTATCGGTTTGTCAGAAATGCAAAATGCTACTATAGCGTAAAACAATATTCATTAAATCAATATTCAGTACTGTTTTCATTGCATACTTACTTCAGACAATAGTGTACTGTACTAAAAAGTACTGTCGGAAATAGAAAAAAAATGGTTTGGGCTGTTACTCTGTATACCGAAAATTTGAAGAATTGCAAATAGCATATGTCAAAATAACCCACACGTACATCAGTGGGATGCGTAATAGGATATCCAGAAAAGCATGTTTACTCGTAAAATCGGGCAAAACTTAGAAAAAATACGAATAGCTGCTTAAAACAATAGATCAGACTATAGATGACAATTAGGGCGCTCGGCTAGGTATGATGACGAACCGTCGACACACCGAGCATGGAATGCACGTGCTACTTACAGGCAAAATGGGTCATCTCAAAAATATTCTATGCGTTTTCTTGTGTGTTGAATATGTCTCAAATATTGCTTAACATTCTAACGTGTCTTTTTTGCATAAAGTTTATGTTGAGAGATGTAAAACAGTATGATGCCCATAGAAAGGCTAAAATCAGCCATCGTATTAAATGTCTAAAAATATATAGGTAGCATGGCCACCCGAAGATCGACATGACTGGATGTTATTTGTAAATTGTTACTTCCCCAGTTTAATTCCCCTAAAGGATTATCAAATCTTAGCTGATATCTCTACCCCCAGCCCGACTCCAGCCATCGTCTGCTTATTTGCTTTTGAGACGACCCAACCACCCACCCACCTACCCACCCCCATGTCTGTTTGTTTTTATAGTAGTAGTGAGACTCCATGGTAGCTACATCCTTAAGAGTTACACAAGTAAAAATATTATTTTGTACGTCAGCTATCGTTTCTAATGAAGCAAAGTCTAATTTCAAAATGGGCATTTAAAAAAGTGTCCTTTGTAATACAATGTCATCGCACACAAATTTGCATAAAGCCAAGGTCTGTTCCAAATAAGTCGACTTAAAAACACATTGCTCATGCACTAATTTCTCCTCAGTAAAGTCCCTTTTTAACGTTTCCTATCTCCCTACCACCGAGACTGTAGTTAGGCCGAACTTAGTTTAACAGATATTTCACACTTTCACATATTAACTACATACATTGTGGATCTAAATGTGAAGAAACTTTTTTTTTCTATTTCCGACAGTATTTTATATGCTTGCATACTTCAGACAATAGCGTTGACATCATGCAGTACTGTACTAACGTGGTTATAGTTTGAGTTTGAGGTGTTTGGACTGAGGGCACAGAAGGGATCAACTGGCCAGTCCATGTCGGGGTACTCTCCCTCCAGCTTGCAGCACGTGAAGGGGGTCTTCAGAACGACGGTCAGGCCCCCCTCGGACACCGTCCGGTTCCAGTGAGTCGCCGTATAGATGTCGGTGTAGTTGTCAACGCCGCAGCAGTCCAGCTACAACACGACAACATTTCTAGTAGTGTCACAGGTTCGACCATATCACAGTCATCATTTAATTATCACAGACAGTAAATAGCAACAGGAGAGAAGGCCACCTTGTCTATACCCAGTTACACTACCTTCAAGGATGAATGAGTGAGTGAGCAAAGTTTTATTCTACTCGTGTCAATATTTCAGCAATATCATACCAAGGGGATGACAAAACATTCCATAACACTCCAGAACATTCCCTATGGGGGTCGAACCATGGCCTTTAGTGTGATGATCAAAGCTTTAACCACTGAGCTACACTACCACACACTCCTCGCTCTAGGGCTGGTGGATTGCCTAATCGTTAAAACGTTCGTTCATCACGTCTCAAGACTCGGCTTCGATTCCACACAGGGTTACAATCTGTGAAGCCCATTTCTGGTCTCCTTCACCTTGATATTGCTGGATTGTTGCCAAAGTCGGCGTTAAACCAGAATACTCACTCACTCACTCTTCGCTCCAGCCTTGAGACACGCTCAAAACACACATACCTTCAACATGGTCTTAATTTCTTGAAGTTCCTGTGTTTTAAAGTGATCGTGTCATAATAGAATCTATGAATTGAATTCAACGATTCACATATTGTTCAAATACCTGCATGAATATGTAGTTCCAGCCGAGTGTGACGGGGTCGGTGCCGATGTCCCCGGTGTAGCTGGATGACAACGTCCTCTTCAACAACGTCTTTAAGCTGATGTCAAACTAAAGAAGAGTTGTTTGTGCGTGTATGAGTAAATGAGATGGGGGGACACGTATAACGACTGAAAGTACGACTACCCCCCGACTGGCACAAGTCTCTAAGGTAATAATTAATAGTTGAAATGATAATTTCTTGACTGCCTCCCTTGTCTGCTAATCTAGACTTGCCTCTGTAAAGTATGGAATCCGAGAAGGGACATTGTCGCGTTGTCGCATTGTCGCGTTGTCGCCCTCTCCAAAACAAGCAAAATGAGGCAAAATTAACAAAAGCGCGACAATGCGACAACGCGACATTTCGGCCATTTGTCGCATTGTCGCCCTTTGGAGGAATAGAAAAATACTATTCAAAACGCGACATGCGACATCGCGGCAATGCAACAATATTGTCGCATTGTCGCGCTTTGGTTAATTTTGCCTCATTTTGCTCTTATTCGGAGATGGCGACATTGCGACAACGCGACAATGTCCCTTCCAGGATTCCATAGTAAAGGATAGAATTACACGTACTATACATCGATGGGCTTAGCATTCAGCAAGGCTAATCACCTTTGGCCGGAGTGCGATAGGCAGCATAATATTATGTTATACACAATGTATTGTACTGACGTTGAAAAAGCATGGTGGCCTTACCTGTGACTTAAGGGTGCACATCAAAGTGACGCCAACGACCTGTGTGACCATCACTACCACTACAACCACGGCATACTGCAACATAGAAAATAGTATTACTGACCTGCATTATATTACCAGCATGAGTGAGTGAGTATGGTTTTACGCCGCTTTTAGCAATATTCCAGTAATAGCGGGGGACACTCTTCACAGATTGTACCCATTTGGGGCATCGAACCCGGGTCTTTGGCGTGAAATGCGAATGCTAGGACGTATTTTGTTCCCTATCAATATTATATACCAATATCATGTGTACCTACCTTAATTACCTATATTACATCCAACATGACATGTACCCATATTAAAAGTACTCACATGACATGTAAGAATATTACATGTAACCGCATGACATATATCAATATGGCAAGTATCTATCTAGCTTATCAATATTACATGTACAAGCATGACATAACAATATTACATTAACCATATTATATGCATCAACATGAGTGAGTAAGCAAAGTTTTATGCCGCTTTCAGCAATATTCCAGCAATATCACGGCGGGGCACCAGAAATGGGCTTCACACAATGTATCCATGTGGGGACTCGAACCCGGTATTCGGCGTGACGAGCAAACGCTTTAACCACTAGGCTTCCCCACCGCCACCGTCCCAACATGACATTACCTGACATTACCAGTATTGCATGTACCCACCACAAGCAAGCACGTTCTGAGTTTCCAGCAAGCACCGAGACATCCGAGGCCCCCGACGATGAAGATGAACAGTCCGACGACGATGAAGGTGAAGGCGATGCCCTCGATGAAGTCGCTTAAGGTGAAGGTCGATTCCTCTGCCTGGACGTTAGAGACGAGACCCGACAGATAACTGGTGAATATGTCGGACCTGAACCTCAACACGCTGCCCAGCACAAAGCAGGCCGAGCCCAGTATCTGGAATATACGTGGCATGTGTTAGTTGAAGGGGGATTAACCATTTTTCAAGCACATTTATGTTTTGTTTAACACTAATAATCAACCTATATGTATTTTTCGGGTCTGGTTGGATGTTGTTTGCCGTTCAAACCCGCTCACAGCAATACTCCAGCTGTATGGCGGCGGTATGTATATGATCGAGTCTGGACCAGACAAACCAGTGATCAACAGCATGAACATCTACGCAAAAGGGATAAGATGCCATGAGTCAACCGAGCCTGACCACCCGATCCTGTTAGTCACCTCTTACGACAAGCATGGATTACTGAAGATCAATTCTAACCTAGATCTTCACGGATGTATCTACCAGCAAACTGATGAGACGTCTTGTCTTTGGACAAGCATTTCGAGTCTGGAGCAGACAAACCGTTGGTCGATATCATGAGCACCATCCAACGCCATCCAGGAGAGCCGTGCATTTTTTATGAACAGGATGTTAACATCAAGAAAGATTGTATATTTATGCGCCAATTGAATTTCATTTCATAACAGCTCCGTTGTTTTATTTATATCGATTTCTTTTAATGAAATATAACCTTGAGTTGAGTTTTACGTCACATCGGCATTATTCCAGCCATACAGCGACGAGAATAAGTCTGTACTCATGCATATTTTAAGTACAAAGTCAAAATGATTTTCTTGAAAAATTATACTCATGCCAATAATGGTTGTCAAACGTATGTGTAAATCCATGTGTATAGACTTGTCAATGCCTATTCAGTCAATGTAGGGGCGGTGGTGTAGTCCATGATGGAGTCGGTGGTTAAACTGTTCGCTCGTCACGCCAAAGACCCGGGTTTGATTCCCCACATGGGTACAATGTGTAAAGCCCATTTCTGATGTCCCCCGTCGTGATATTGCTGGAATATTGCTAAAATCTGCGTAAAAGTAAACTCTCTCTCCCCCGTCTTAGATGACAGGACCACCCATGTATCTGATTCCTTGCGCGGCAGTATCAATTTGAAGAGATATTGGTTGAGTGTGGAGAGCTCCACGAGAAGCATTGCAGACAAGACTTACAATCCTAAAGAATGTACATCATTTATTCACTGTTTAAAGGACATCATTTTCAAATAGACATAGCAGCTGTCTTTCGGTCTCCGTCTACAGGTCGATGAAGAACGGGACGACCATTCTTTTCAGTGTTCATATTGAGTCGGGCCCTGCTCGTGTTGTTGACTGTCAATATGTGTTGTCGTGTTGACAGTCAACACGAGCATCAAACCACAGTTGACAGTGAGGTCACTGGTGTGGACATGTGTCAAACGATTGTGTTGACATGACACAATTTACCCTACCTAAGCGAATGCAACACAGTGATTGAGTGAGTATGGTTTTGCGCCGCTTTAAGCGATATTCCAACAGTGGACACCAGGAATGGGATTCACACAGTGTACCCACATTAAATATTGGCTAATATTGGTAGCAAATACTTGTCCAAAACTGCCAGACCTGCATAGATACTGAATACTTGTCCAATACCCCAAGATCTGCACAGATACTGAATACTTGTCCAATACTGCTGATCCTAGATAGATACTGAATACTTGTCCAATGCTGCTTATCCTAGATAGATACTGAATACTTATCCAATACTGCTAATCCTAGATAGGTACTGAATACTTGTACTGAATGACTGGGTATTGAGTATGTGTACGTCACTACCAGACGCGACGATTGTTAAAGATCGTGTCTTTAATCTCTGAACACCTGTTTATCACAACAGTTCAAAAGGCCACACATGGATGAGAACAAGGTCCTTTCACGGCTGTCATTATAACCACTTTTAAGTTTTTTTTGCATTAACACAAGTTGGTACAATGCAACTAGTGTCTAGTGAGTGAGTGAGTGCCTAGGCCTCAAAGGGAATGTTTGACTTTTTTCTGTGCTGGATTATATCTCTGGTGGGTTCAGTGTTTTGTCTATACTTGCTATATTGGACATATTTTAGGACTATCGATATATTCCTGGGCAAAAGAAGGTATACACTCAAATAAGGATTTGATAAAAAATTACAAACCTTTATTTAAATGTTACTACGCCGAAAACAGTCACTGAAAACCTGAACTGTCAGGCCCAAAACACAACTAATCTACCCGTGTCGAATACGTTAATGAATACCCATAGTCCAGGAGGAGGCAGCTGAAAAATTTCAAATCGTAGCCTCCCCAGTACTGATTTTGTTTGACACTATTTTCAGTTAGTATTATGTCTTGGGCTCATGAAAAGGCCTGTAATACTCTCAGATTGTGGTATCAGTTTTTTTTTACAGGCCATTATATGTGGTGGGGGTCTGGGGGCATTTTCGTCACATTTGGTTTGCTGCCCGACAACACCTCAAAGTTAGTCATTAATAGTTTTACTACTGTCAATCTGATCACTTTCATTTTGACTTCTGTGTACTGCTAAAGGATGTAGAAATTATTTGACATAATTTTGTTTTGTAAAAAAATCAAAATGGCCGCCATTATGGCCGCCATTTTGTTTTGTCGTGTTTTGCCTTCTCAGCACTTAAATCTACATAAAAATGTACACCGAATGTTTCCATTTACACCCAAAGTTGATACTTTTGATGTGTTTTGACACTTGTTTCTCCTAGAATGATGGCTTGGGCACAAAACAAGTCATTTTGTATGGTCATAGCATGGTAATTTAATGTTTTACAGCTTATTCTTTGAGACAGGGGTATTTTGGCATTTCTCAGACTTTTCATGAAAATGTGTCAGAGTGATTTATGTAATGGCAGTTAACATTATTTTTGTTACTAAAACAAGTTGTTTTTGTTTTCTCTTTACTTCTAGAGTGACGGCATGTTATTAGGAATGTTTACATATTACCCAGAATTCAAAATGGCCGCCAAAATGGCCGCCATTGAAGTTTAATTACATATACTTAGTGGAGGACTAAATTTGTACTGATATGAAATCCAAACAAATCATTTAGTGTCTAATGTTGAATACAGTATAGGAATAGAGCTAAATTTCAATGATAAGGTCAATCAAAGCTTCACACTCCTAAAATATTTGATGAAATAACATTATCCAAAAGTGTTTGAAAACTATGCTTCATGGCCAATAACTACGTCTAAACTTTGGTTGTAGGTATTCAAATTGTTCTATCTGATAACTCTTAATCACTTTTGATACATCCATAAGCTTGCAATTAACCTTCTTTTTCACTTTCTTTCATTTCATATGTTACTTCATGTCACAATCGGACCTGTGAAGATCCGGGTTAGAATGGATCTTCAATAACCCATGCTTGTCGTAAGAGGCGACTAACGGGATCGGGTTGTCAGGCTCGCTGATTGGGTTGACACGTTTCATCGTATCTCAATTGCACAGATTGATGTTCATGCTGTTGATCCCTGGGTTGTCTGGTCCAGACTCGATTATTTACAGACTGTCGCCATATAGCTCGAATATAACAGAGTGCGTAAAATTAAACTCACACACTCATGTCAGAATCGGAGTCATCTACTGGCAACAAGTCAAATATGTTCGGGCAACAATCATCTACCATACAAATAGACATGTCTCTGTGCACACTATATCATTCTTTCTACTGGCATGCTGACTTTTTGCATTTACACGATGTCAGTTCAACCAATCCACGGGGAGCAGGATCTCTCGACATCAGAATAGCTGACCATCACAAATGCTCCAACCATGGTCAACTGGTGAAGGGATGTTCATGATTGGTTGCAGAGACTGTTTCCAAACATGGACATGGTAGTTTACTCTTTCAATGTGATGTTTTAGACTGTTGGATGTTGGTGGGAGGTTTTCATTCAATATCTTGTGTCATCTACAGACATCACTGGATTATTTGGTACATGCACAGAACTCACAAACTGGCCACAAGATATAATGAGTGTTTCTTGAACATCCAAATTGTCATCCATTTGTTGTGTGAAGCTTCTCATCCCTGGGCTTTACATCCTTTTTTGGAATCAATGTAGAAAAGCCAATTGTGTCAATGTTTGTTGGTGATTTTCAGAGGACTTATGTAAGTCAATTCCCCATGTCGAACGTTCTACACGTTCTAAAATGGGACGGAGTAATAACGTACTTAAAATGAGATTGCCATACTAAGAACGGAATTGCCATACTACAAACGGAATCGTGGCGCTTCAATTTTACTGGGTATGTGTGAGGACGTAGTGCAGTCCGGCATCAATTGCAATACGTTTGTACACAGTTTCCACCTGGTCCATCCCGTTTGCAGAACTCTACTGAACTCTAGTTAGTCGCTATTCCAAGCAAATATGTTCAAAACGAAATGAATCGTTCTGAAGAAACTTGTAGCACACGGTTCTAACAGTTTGCAATTGGTTCTCATCACGTTCTACTCGTTGTTAGTATGTTTATGTAGTTCTCATGCAGTTCTTACTATGTCAACTCTGTGTGCATTACGATATGACAAGGTAGGGTATATATACATGCGTTTTTAACATGGTCGCCATTTGGGATAGAGTTTCTATGAACAAGTTTGCAGCTGTCAAAATATTGAATGCTGGTTTCCTGCAATTTTTATCGGAAGCAGAGCAAGAGTACAATGAGTTGGTAGAGCAAGAAAGAAGGAAAACACAAGAACTTGTTGGGTGAGGAACTGGCTTAAACCTGAGAGGTGAATAGCTGTGGGACATTATCATCAACTGATGGAGGAGCTCCGCCTTGATGATCATGAGCCCTTCTACAATTTCTTGAGAATCACCCCACCCATGTTTGATGAACTTCTTGAACGCATTGACCCCTTTATAAATTAGATGTTCACCCTTCTTCTTCCTTGGAGGCATGGTGATGTCAATGTTTCCACCTTGAAACTGAGAACGGAATAAGAATGGGCAGGGTATTTATATAAATCGACCCAGGAAGTGATTGCTATTATGATTGCACACACTAGAAACGGAGTGAGAAAGTAGTGAGAATGGGAAGAAGCGCCTGAAAATGAGTTGG